TGAAGAGAATTGTGTGAGGCTCAATTCTTAGACCCTCTCACAGAACCAGGCTATGTCCAGGGCCATTAATGGACATAATAATGAGAACTGAAATATGTTAGGGAGAATCCTGTGTGAAGTATATTTATCGTTTACACAAAAAGCAGAACAATTCAAAGACATCGCGTCTACTGGTCAGCTAGTAAAGTTGATGTGCTTTCACAAGGGAAGGTTCAAAGGGTAACACCTACCTATCCTATGCAGGTTTCAACTGTCGGACCATAACATGTTTTGATGTTAATTTCATTCATGTGGGGGATTGTTGGAAAAAATATTGAATGAAATGTATGTTACATAAACAATTAAATTTGAAACCGTGTCTTCACTTTTCAAAACATGTAACTTGGTTTTATTAATGCAACATTTAATTCAACTTTATTAAGTTTGATTTAAATGGTCTAATTAATGAAGTGCCTTGTTTTATGACTATATAAGGTTGCTTCTTGTGGAAAAAAATAGATACGAACTCAAGAAAAGAAAAACAAGTAAAGGCTTTTTCCCGAATTTTTAAGTGTTTTGGTCCAAGCATAATTCCAATTCGCTGAATTTGTTTCGATTTTTCCGTTGTATCCTGGGAAACAGACGCTCATACGGGGCGAATCTGTTTTAAGGACACTGTGTTCTCACAGGCCTCGGTAATATATATTTAAGCCATCTTACTTTTATTTTACCGATAAAATTCCCTACATTTTGTACATAACAATGTCCGAAATTGTAAATTGTCAAACCGTATGAACTGGTACAAATTTTCTGGTTTTGAACCGGTTCGACCGGTTCTTGTGCCCAGCTGTTCACACTACAAAAAAAAACTCTTACATTCCAACGGAAATTTTCCGTTGGAATTTTTTATAGTTATTCCAACGGATATTCATACGTATAAAAATCCGTTGGAAAAACGGCCGTTGGGATAACAAATATCCAACGGAAAATCCTATGGAAATAAATTCCTAAGCTATTCCAACAGAAAAAATCCATTAGAATTTCTCAACTATCCAACACTTTCCAACATAAAATTAAGTTTGTTGGAATATTCATTGGAATTTCCAACGGAAAGTTTTGTCGTTGGAATTTTTCGTTGGAATTGTAGTGTTTTTTTTGTAGTGGATCAAATCATCAAATCGGACCGGTACCATGGTCGGTTCCAGGTTGAACAAGTCAAACCGGCCAATCCAATCCGGTATTCAAAACCATGGTTTAAACTCTCGAGTGTTCTATTATATAAGAGCATCTGCATTGGAGCGTTTGTTTACCCTATTTAAGTGGCAAGTGGCGGTTAATATGGATGCAACCATCCATTAAATGGTGGGTCCTCCTTGTGCGTTCATGGGAACACATTCAGTTGCTATATTTAATTTTTTAGTTTTATTTTCTTTGTTTTAAATCAATTTTTAATTTATATTATTTTCTTTTTTTATAATAATCTTTTTTTATATATATCACACTTTCTAATATTAATAAATTCAAACTTTATTTACATCACACTTTTCAATATGTATCAATAATTTACATTTTATATTCCTCCATTCTTTTTATGTCTATAAATACACCTCAATTTACAACTTGTCCAGGACTCAAATCGTGAATTTCAAGATTATATTCGTAGAAGTTCAAAGATACGAGACAATATAATGTGATGGGTCTCCTCCTAGATCTGGAGTGAACCGGTGGTAGTGAGTTCTGACCTGTTCGAACCGCCTTTGAATCACCTCTAGATCGTTGCAAACACCTGCAAGAAATCAACACCGGAAGTGTTTCTGGTGAAGAGCCTCCGACGCTCAAGTCAGTGACAAAGAAAAGGGAGAGGAGATGCTGAGAGCAGCTGCAGATCTAGAAAATGAGTAATGAGAGTGAAGTTAGGGTTTGAGGTTACCTCAACCCCTTTATATAGGAGCAGATACCTACTTGAAGTACCCAAAATGCCCTGGCCGACTTACATGAAGTGTCCAAAATACCCTGGTCGATCTGTTCGCATTCCATTTATCCCTTAGTCAACATCCAGATTCCTTCTTATCTCATAAAGATTCCCCTTAGTTTGGAGGTCATGTTGTTATGCTGAAGTATTATGAGTCGTCAGAGTGTTTTAGTCCTCAAGGCATAGGATGTCGACCTCGAGGACCATAAAGTCGACTTACGACTTTCCAGGATTATTTTGGAGGTCGTATCTCGCCCGCTCGTCTCCTTGGTGGCAGTCGACTTCTTAAATCGACATAGGGAAATCGTCTTAGGGTTGTTAGCTTACTGAAGGAGGTCCTTTGATGGTCAGTGAGAGAAGTCGACTTTATGGGAGTCGACTTATGGGTGTCGATTTGAGGATGTCGACACGTAGATTCATTGTCCAGTCGAATAGTTAGTACTTGAACCGGTATACCGTAATGTGGCTATATCATAATGCATCACCAACTTCATGCAGACTTAGTTGGGCATATTTCAACTCATTTTTCTACCAACTAAAGAGATTTTTTTTTCCTTTTATAGTATTTTTCACTTGTATTCTCGGGATTCGATCCGGTTAAACATCAGGGAGCTCACGTAGACAGCGCGCGTCGAAGTGAGTGATCGTTGGAACATCTTATTTCGACTTCGCTTCGTTCGTTGGATCCAATACCAAGACGACTTAATTTATGGTTTTTTTTTTTATCTAAAAATATTTAATGTATTTTCAACATTTAAATTATGTATTTTAATTAAAAAATACATTTATTTTTATTAATAATAGAATATAAAAATATTACTGAATGTGTGGGTAAGGGGTCATATATGTTTGTATTTAAATGAATGATTGAATGTGCGTGTGCGTTTAAATTGATAGATTTTTAGTGAATACTTGCTCTGTGGGTCCCTCAAAGACATCCATAGCAAGAATTCAGCTCACCACATATATCCTTTCGTGGATCTGGAAGACCCGCAACCTCTGACATTTTTCAAGGCACTCTTCTTCCCATTCATGTTACTATGAAAGTGGCTCATCATGATTGGTTAGATTTTGTTCAGTCTTAGTTTCTCGGTTTTCTTTTCTCTTTTTTTTTTTTAAGATTTGTTGGTCTTGTGTATGTCTTTTTTTCTTCATTTCTTCTATGCCTTTGGGCAGTGGAGAGTGTTTGATGATTTTCTTTCCTTTTTTTATTTTCTTGAGGCTTTAGGCCGCTTCGAGCATGTCCTCTCAGTTTTAGTTTTCGGGTTTGGTCTGTACTTTCAAACATTGTTCGCTTTGAGTTCTATATTATATCTATCGTTTCTTAAAAAAAAAAAAATTGTGGATGAGACGGAGTGTAAATTGTAATTGATTGAATAGGGATGTGGATGCCCTAACTCAAATGTTCTTTTCTCTGTGAAATAAGAAAATAACAAACTTTGGTGCTAAATCGGGCTTAGAAATGAATGTTTTAAAATCCAACATCTACATGGCGGGGGTTGGCCAATTGGAGCATTCGGAGATTCTTCGGGACACTAACCTCCGGCCGGGGTCTATGCTTTCCGGTACCTCGGTATCCCCCTCACGGTGGAAAGAGTCACCGTTGGGCAATTTGACACACTCATAAATCAAATCTTGAAATACATCAATGGATGGAACACTTCCTCTCTTTCATATACGAGCAAGTGGAGCTCATTATATCGGTCCTTCAAGGGGTGAATGCTTTTGGATGTCTATATTCCCTCTTCTGTCGACGATCCGTTCGCTTATCATCCAACGATGCCACCGCTTCCTTTGGGGCTCAAAGATGGCACCAGTGGCTTGGCACATCGTCACTCTTCCACGTTCGGAGGGAGGCTTAGGCCTTCGGGACCTCAAAGCGTGGAACCAAACCTTGCTAGCACGAACACTGTGGAATATTCAAGCCAAGAAAGACACCTTGTGGTACCATTGGGTGCATCACGTTTACTTAAAGCAAAAATCCATATGGCAATGGACCATCCACAAAAGCGACTCCCCACTTTTCAAAAAACTCTATGACATCCGGAACCTAATTGTTGGAAAGTTGGGTAGCACGCAAGCCGCCGAGGCCGCCCTTAGCCTTTGCGAATCCAAATCTCACTCCAAGGGGCCCTCATGCATATACGAATTCTTCCGACACCAAGGCACCCCCGTTCCTTGGAAGGGTGTGGTATGGGGGCCCGCCAATACCCCCAAACACGACTTCATCCTTTGGCTTGCAACGCTTGGGAGGCTCCGGACCAAAGATAGACTCGGCTTTCTTGATATAGACCTTACTTGTGCCTTTTGTGGGGAAGCTTTCGAGTCAAAGGATCATCTCTTTTTCGCTTGCCCCTTTTGGCTAAAGTTTGGCTCGACATCCGACAATGGCTAGGATTGAGGAGACAATTCTCTACACTAAAGAGTGCATTGAAGTGGATTAAGAAAGAATCCCAAGGCTCTGGTTGGAGAACAAAAGCAATAAAAGTGGAGCTCGCATCCACGGTTTACTTCCTTTGGAATGCTCAGAATAGGAAGATTTTCGAGAATGAGGTACAATCTCCGGAGCTCATTACCCGAAAAATTCAAACCCACGTCTACCGGGTATTTTCGCTTTGTACCCGAATGTCCTTGCCGACATGGAGAGAAAAGCCCTCGGAAATGGCTTCCGCGTCGTGGGACGTTTTGATTTTCGGTTCCACTTTAGTTTGAGTTGAGCAACCAATCTGTGGTTTGCCGCTCATCATTTTGATTAGCGAGTGAGAGACCGAATTGTGGTTACCCACTTTACTTTTGTGTGCCGCGAGACGGTCGATGTAAAATCAATTTTGATCTATAAAATTTATTTATCTATAAAAAATAAAAAAATAAAATAAAATAACAGAAAGCATATCAGAGATTTTATTAAAATCATGGCCAGATATATGCTCTAAAAAGTTATGTTTTTCTGTTGTAACCACTTTTGTCTTCATGTCCAAGACTACTTTTTTCTTCAAATACCAACACCACGACTTTTTTTCTCTCCAAACTTCTGCCTTTTTTAGCTTTACTATACCTGGAAAGGGCCCCAAATTTTGCACCAACTGGTGAAAAAACAAACACATTAACATAAACAAACATTACAATCTTATTAAAAACAGCTATTCCTACAGACATTTGCATAAATCCTCATTCTCCACACA